GGCGGGGACAACTCGTTCAACCACCGAGGCGATCCGAAGCACAGCTCCCGAGGATTTTGGGCTCCCAGCCTGGCCGGGGAGACCGGAAGGTATCTCCTTGAAGAAGCAGATGCGACATTTCTCATCTCTCGAGCAAGCCAAGCGCGTGTTTTGGTGGGGAGGTTGAGGGGTTAAGCGAAGATACTCCAAGAGCAGTCGCCTGCAGTGACCGTTCGGCTGACGCGTGGGAGACTTTGGCGGATCAACGGCTGTTGTAACCACCACCACACCCTCGCATCTTGTATTTTAATGCGGTACCAGTTGGAACACGCACCGGTTTCGGGTACAGGCAGTCTTCCCCAGCAGGCAAGCGACGCCAGCCGACAAGACTTCAAAGATAGAACCTGGGAGCGAAGCCGCGGTCTTCCAGCCTATTCAAAAACTGGCTCTGCAAGGTGAGCCGCTGCCAAACGGGGCCCCCGCAAAAAAAACACCCCAAAGCTCCGGGGAAGCCCTCGGGCTTTGTCAGCGGCGAGTAAATCTGAAGGCGAGCGGTCCTGGCTGCTGTGCGGACCGGGAAATCCTCTCCCCAACCCCAGGGAGGAGCACGGAGACCTCTGAGCAAGGCGGAGTGGGAATTAAATCCGGCATTTAACCCGCTTGGCTTCAGCTGGCAGGCTCCCGGCTTGCAGGAACGCCACGGCGCCGCATCCTCTCCCACGTCAAGCCGGCCGCTTGCAACGCAAACCCTTCGACGGACAGGCGTCGGGTGCAAAGCCCCTTCCCCGAGGCAAAGGACGCGCTCCGCTTCCTTTGCGACCGGAGAAGAACCGAAGCAAATTTTTTTTTCTGCTCCCGTTTGACCAGGTTGTTTTTCGGACCAAATCGACACAGCTGGGGCAGAGCCGGAGAGCCCCGTGACTGAGGAAAATCAGAGCTCCTCGTCTAACGGGAGGAATTTTGTTTTTCAAACCATAACACTTTTCCTGCCAGTACGAACACTTGGTGTGGCTCAAAGGGAACAGCGGGCAGAATGACTTGGCTTTTCCAGAGTTGTTTTCTTTTTTGTTTTTTTGGCCCCATCACCAGCGGCAATTAGTCAAGGCAGCAGCAGGGA